ACTGGGCTATACCAATGGTGCCTAATCCTTGGTGTCCTCTATTTCTGTTGAATGTTCTTACAGGTATTCTCCCACAAAAGGCATAGATGCGTAGGAGCCCATTGTTTTTCATTAGAGGCACAAAGACTTGGAAATCCTCATCATTCCCAAACAGCTGACTCTAGAAATGACAGCTCACTAGGGTGACTTGGTTATCAATGCACTTATTTGCACTTCAAAGGGAAGAGAAAACCTGTTTGTTTTCTGATACTCAAGAAAATTTTGCATGTCCTGCTTTTGGAGAATAATCCAAGTAGAACAGCTCGTATTCAAGCTGAGGCCACCAGTCACTCTGGGGAGGTTGTTGACAAGTGGCCCAGATTTTGCAATTTATCCAAAAGGGTGGATTGTTCATTAAACAGAAGCTTCATCAAACATTGCTGTGATATGCTTTACATAAGAAAAGCTATATTCTTTGCTTAACATTCAGAACTTGCTTATGGATTAATTAGTCCATCTGCCACAACAAATGTATTCACCCTTCTTTTGCATTGATTGCTGAAAATGCCCACTTTTCTCCTATCCACTTATCTGTATCAATATAAAGGAAAACAGTAACTTTTTAGAGGACACTTATTTTTTCATACCTGCAAAAATGTGTATATTTTTTCAGCCTACCTGAGTTGATAAGTGCAAGGGTGAAAGGAAGACCTTCACAGAAAATGGTTTCCCACGATTGGTTTCTTTTTTTTAATTCACCAACCATCTATTTGTCAGTTTATGACAAGTATTTTAATAAATGTAGTCTTAATCGTGTCTTATAACTGCTCCAAAATTGACATGACTCATACTATTTTTATTACATATATTTTTATTTAGATACTACTGGCATATAATATTAGTTTCAGGTGTACAGTGGAGTGACTCACCATTTGCCTACCTTACGGCGTGGTGATAGCACTGTCTTTCCACTCAGTTTCAATCCCACTTATACTTTTGTATGAGAACAACCACATGCCTCTATTTATCCCGGAGTCTCTATCATTGGTATCCTCCTTCTCTCGTTTATGCTGTTGCCGATTCTGACAACTTCTTTATGCATAACACCCCTGGTTTCTTATTTATCTCAGGTCAGGTGGCTTCGTCACCATCTCAGAGTCTAGTCGTCCCACTAGGGACTGCCAGTCTCTTATCAGGCATCCATCACCTGAGTCTTCTCAGTTATATTCTCTTGTTTGGTAGCATTAGAACCAAATCAGCTTTGGCCACAGTTAGCAAAATGCCAGATGTTATAGTAATAGAGGGTATATCTCATATACTCCTCATGTTGATTATGACACTCTAATGTCTCACCCATTCTGTTTAACAGCCACTTTAGAAAAAGTCTTTCTCTATGCCGTGCTTAAATCACATTCCCAAACTTCATTAAACACTTCTACATATAAACCTCAAACTCAAGCCCCATAATACATGGGTATTTCTTTTTAACCTTCTAACTGCCTTTCCCCTCTTCTCATCAATTTTGCTCCCAACCCTCTTCATCTAGCTTTTTCTTCTAAAAGTTAACTTCCCTTGGACTCTTCTAGCAAAAGAGTTTTCATCCTTTTACTAGACACCTAGGAGAGTTTGTATCTACACCCTTAACTACCTGTATTAAATGATATACCTTTAATAGATGCCTTCTCCATCTCCTGTCTCATTTCACAAAGCACATAAAAGTTATAGGTCATCCATACAAAACCATGTTTAAGATTGAGACAAGGGAACAGGGCGGGAGTAAGGAAGAGGGAAGACACAAAGGAAGGAGGGAGCAAGAAAATAGGATGGAAAAGAAATATATGGCACCACGAAATATCCAATACCTTGCTGTAGGTTTAGGATCTCACCATTTAAGGAAAAAATGAAGTTTTGCTATTAGTTTACTTGTTAATTTACTACACAATTTGCCTGCAGAATTAAAACTTCAGATATTCTTCCAATGTTATTTTTCTCCCTAGCTGTAACTGATGAGAACCAAGTAAGGCCACTGCCAGCTGTTCTTTCAGTTGTAAAAGGCATAATTTGTAAAATGGTAACCTTTTGATAGGCTTAACAGTATGTTGATGAGCTTCAAGTGAAATGAAAGAAAAAAAGAGTCTGCTGTATTATCAGTGCTTACATTTTCTAAGGAATCATGTGCGGGGGTAGAGCCTTTAAAGGTCACAGACTTCTTTACTTTGAGAAATATCAAATAGCTTATGAAAATAGAGGTCAGCCACATGATAACTGGAAGAAAAGAGCATTCCCCAATGGAAAAAAATAAGATATTTGAGATTACATGGACTGTCCCTTTTTAAGATGGTATTTGATTGTCCTTAAAGATAAATAAAATTTGCATATAAATGCCACCATTGTAAATGAGTGAATGTACAGGTCTTAGAACCAATAGCTGTTGATCTCGCAGTATGAACGCTAATGTGGTCTGCACGTATTGTACTAGCCAATACAATAAGAACTAATGATCTCACAGCCTAAAACACTTCAGTAATTTTTATGTTTCTGCGGAAATTTTATGCATTTCTGGATTTTGCAAAAATAATCCTACTTAGCTCATAGGAACATAAAATAAAGACCATTATCCATAAGGAACTCACTTTTTAAAAATTATTCTTGCTTTAAAGATCACTAAAACAAATAAGAAATAAAGGAATACCAAGACAAGGTTAGCATGTAGGCAAGGTACCAAGCCACCTTCAGGAAGAAATGGAATAATGGCCTTTGTCTGTTCACTACTTAATGGAATATAATTCATGCATTAGTGGGATTTCATGTGTGACTGGAAGAAACTCTGGCCATGATTTATGTTTCCCGTCACCCTCAGATATTGCTTGAAGTTTTTTTTAAAGGATACCGTCTTCTTTGATTTTGCCACTGTTAGGGATCACTCTCAATGCAAAGCTTACAGGAAAAGATAGCCTATTGGCATAGTTTCAGTAGTTTTTAAGTAGCTGATGAAATGGCCAAGAGTTCTCTTCAGATAGGGAAGGGTATGATACTTTGCCTGAGTCGATATTCCCTAAATAGGAGGGACATTGTGAAGTGGGAAACCTGGGGACAAAAAGACAATTTTTCTGTCCCACTGACAAAGCAATCTTCCCTACCACTAGATCAGCTTCCACAACTCTGGAGCTTATAAATACTGATCACTGCACAAAACACAGAGAACGACAACACGAAACAGGTGACACCAGCTTTTAGGTTGTACTTTTCCATCTGAAACTTCTCTTGTCATCAGCTGCCTGCATGTCCTCAGCCCGGAATGCTTGTCACTGACAATAACTCAAGGAATGGATGACTGTGTCCTGTGTTTACATGCTCCCGTATGTCCAGAGTCACCAAGACATCCCAAGGTTGTGCCAGTGAAAGTTTGGTGATCAATTTCAAGCTTAGTCCATGGAGAAAAGAACCAGAGAGTGAATGTACACAGATTGGTGAGCGTGGGCACACTGGCAGGTACCCATGCAGATCTCCAGCTGAATTTTCTTACTTACTAGTGATCCAAAAACTGTACTGGGATACATTTTGCTGGTGAAGAAACTTAATTGCTCTATTTTTGAAGGCACATTAACTCTTTCAGGGCCCATTGAGTAAATTAGCTCCTCTACGTCATTAAGCCTGTCTCTACATGACCTGACAATTTCTACCTGGCACTGTATCATTTACCCCAAAACGCTCCACACTCACTCCGAGCACACATATTCTTTGTCTATTCAGGGAGAGAGAATGTGTTCATTCGATTGACAGCAATTGCTCTATGATCACCACTCAGCGACTCCCTTTGCTTCTTTCCAGGGACCTCTAAGGATTTCCTGGTGCATAGCTGTGAACAGAGCCCCACCAAGAGGCGGGTGTCTCAGTCATCTAGAAATGGTTAAATTTCAGTTTTGAGTACAGTATTGTTCTCCCAAGTATCTTTTACTGTATGCAAAAGCCAACAATATTGATTCATTTGGAGTGAGAATTATAAAGCTATTTCAGGATTCCATACCCCTTCGTTAAAATATAACTTCCACTAAGAGTCAGTGTTATCAGGACCCATTTTAAGGAGATAAGTTGACAACTATTTGAGGGCAGCCTGTACTGTCCATCAAGCGTGTGTTCAGAAAAGTGTGTGATGTTTGGGGTGCCGCAAAGGCTGGGAACATCACTGGCCCTTAATAAGCAGGTGTGAGCGAGTCTCACACAGAAAAAGTAATTTTTCTCTCCCAAATGCCAATAGTTGGTCCTGCTGAGAAGCAGTGATGCAGGACAAAGGCAAACGTCACCTCTTTCTCTGCTATGTCCAGGGCTGCCTGGGAGTGTCATCAATTGGTATAAATTAAAACAGGTAAGGATAGATCCAAAGGGACACAGTACTCTCACTCAGAGGTGTTTCAGCACAGAGTCCCTTTCATGTGTGGATCGTGTAAACCAGCTGTCCTGTTAAAATGCTGGTTCTGATTCAGGAGGCCAGGGATAGGGCCAGGTTCTCTGCATTTCTAACAAACTCTTAGGTGATACTTCCGTTGCGGGCCTACAAACCACACAATAAATAGAAAGGATTTAGGATAAGATGCATGTGATCTTGGATAATACATGATCTTTGATAAAAAAATGATGAATATGAAATAAATTTGACAATATCCCAATAAAAATAGGCTCTAGGCCAGGAAGACTTTGATTAAATATTGAAAATCCCACCAAGAGATTGATAAATCATTAAAAATAAAAGTATATACTTAACATTCCTACCTATCCGAAGATTCAGTGAGCATTTTCTGATGGTGTACTTTCAAAGACACCAGCAGTAATTGTTCTCCTTATCTCCTTTGCTTCCTCCTGTTGGTGAAGAGTTCAAGGAATGCCAATGTCCAATTAAATAGTCCTTTACGAAATTCCTATCAGGGCTGGTTTAAACATTCCCTTCTCACCTTTTATTAATCTATCATGACAGCCTCTCTGTTCTTTCCTCCGAGATGAGCAATGTCCTTTTATCTTCACAGGTCAATGGGAAGGATCTCTCAAAGGCCACCCATGAAGAGGCAGTGGAGGCTTTTCGAAATGCCAAGGAGCCCATCGTGGTTCAGGTGCTAAGGCGAACGCCTCTCAGTAAGCCAATCTATGGAACGGCCCCAGAAGTGCAGCTCATGAATGCCAGCACGCAGACGGACATTACCTTTGAACACATCATGGCCCTGGCCAAACTGAGACCACCCACACCTCCTGTGCCAGATATCTGTCCATTTCTGCTCTCAGACAGGTATTTTTTTTCTGTCTCTTATCCCAAAACCCTATTGGTTCTCATTCATCATTTAGAGTAGGTGTTGGAAAGAATCAGTCACACTAGCAAGCTGACAGTTTTGGAGACAGGTGCTCAGCTCTGTTTGGAAAATATCTTCACTGTGTCTACATCCAGTTAGTTCTCAGCTGTCCCTGTTCGCTACCTTCCCTGACCTACACAGTTGCTTCACCTCAGGAACCAGACTTGCTGAGGTGTGATGAAAAATTCTGGCTCTGATTAGTTCATCTTTGTACTCTCAGTCATCAAAAGCCTCACGCTACTCAAGAGCACCGGTCAGGGAAATAGCTTTTCTCACCAAAGCTGCCAAAAAACCTTATTAAGACTGACACAAAAGCGACATGTTGGCACTGCACTCTCCGCTGTGGGTTGCCTTGCTTTCTCTCTTCTGCTTTTTTGCTTCTTTAAAGGAGAAGCTAGGAAATTAATTTAATTAAAGTGCAAAAACAATTACCCAATATATTGAGATGTAAATAAAAGGTTCTGGCTGTCAGAAAATCAGTACAGAACAACGAAATAAGGAACCATTAAAGGAATATTTCTGCACAGTTTTGACCTAATGTAAAGGCGGTTTAAGATATTTTATTCAAATGGTCCTACTCGTATAGTCTTGGAAGTATGTTTTGCCCCATACACTCTGTTCTGTGACTTCTTAAACAAATACTCAAACATCATTGAGAATTTGCTTTATAAGATCAATAGTCTCTTTAGACTATATTTTCATGGGCTGCTAATGCACTCTCCACGTTGTAGAACTCGGATTTGATCACACCATTTCTCTGCTCTTTAGTGGCTCTGGTAAGTCTATTTCAGTGGGTCACATGTGTCCATTAGTTCACCTGGGATCATGAAAAAGCAGTAACAGTTCATCACCCAAACCCCACCTCGGGCCAATTAAATAAGAATTTTGTAGAATGAAATCCAGGCATCAGAATTTTTCAAAAGTCTCCTGAGGAAATTCTAATATATAGCTACATTTTGGATATTACTCCTCCAAACCCCAAATTTCAGGAGGGTGGAGGCACTGTTTGACTTGACTTTATGGGTCCATCTATTACTTATAAAATAGCTCCTTCTGTCAGGCACTGGAGTAAATCAGGTGCTGGGCAAAAAATGGAATAAAAATAAAGTCCCTGTTTCCTAGAGCTCATATTCTAGAGGGTAAGATAAACAACACACAAGCACACAAGTACTTAATATTCATTAGCATAGCCTGACACAGAGTAGCCATTCAGTCAATACTTCCTTGAATGAAAAATAATAGCTTGCATTTATTAGCTCACTTAGCATATTTTAGGTAATATTCCAAGTGTTTTACATTTATTAACTCAGTCCTCACAATAACGTTTGGAAGAAGTTCATTGTATTATTACCATATTCATGTCACCAACGTTAAGTGACTTGGCCAAGGTCACATAGCAAAGAAGCGACACGGCCAGGCCTCTGAGCCAAAGAGGTCGAAGTGCCCACTCTTGTGCCCACTAGGCCGTGCTGCCCTCCCTAAGCCCTGCAGACCTCAACATACAGGCCACCTCCTCTAGCAAACTTCCTAGGGCTGCAGTAGGTCCATCCCCACCATGTGCTATCACGGCTTCTGTGTTTTCCCCTTAATTATCACACTATTTAAAAATTTCCACTCTGCTGCTTTACCCAATTCATAGGGAAAGAATTGGATTTTGTGTGCCAACATATTTCCAGCACTTGGCGTAGAGCCTGGGATCTGGGAGACATGCAATGTTTATTGAATGAATAAGGTGTTCCTCCCAGCAGAGCTCCCTTCTTACAAACAGAAGGACAAGGGAAATTCATCAGATACCCCAAACAGTAAGCTCTGACATTTTACCAGCCCAAATGGGCTTTGCAGAGCCAGTCCAGATTTGAGCAAGTGGGGTTTCCCTGTTAGACCAGCAAGCAAGGTGATGCATGTACTACTTTTATTCCTTGGGCCCATGTTGCTGAACCTTGTAGGGGGCAGATGGTAGTGAGAAGAGGCGTGTAGAATATTCACACTGACTGTGAAGGCACCAGGATGGTTCTCTCCCTTATTTCAACTATTGATGAGAAAACTAATTTATGCTACTAACTCCAGTTTTTCAGTAATGTCCCCACTGTCAGGGCTTAAAGTTCTCACCTGCATTGAACTTGGCTCATCGCACTTAGGCTTTTTCATTGACTTTTAGAGATAGAGATGACCTTGTGCCCTCTGCTGTTGAACGATGCTTAGCCTTTATATGATGTAGTATATCTTATCTATCATAGCATATGATTTGAAAGCACTTCTATCAATTATTGAGAACATTTTCCCAAAGTTAAAGGGTACATAAAAGTCATGTACAGGCCCTGGTCTCCCTGACTTCCTTTACTTAATCAGCTCTGTTTCTACCCAGAAATTTTCTAAAGAGACTATGAAACCCTGCGGCTTATATAAGCCTCATATATAAAGCTTTCTAGAGAGTTATCACCATGAATGCTATTTAATATTTGTACAAGAGCCCTTTTTCTGAAAGAAAACGTGGGTTGTGACAGAGAATGAGGAGGGAGGTCTTAAGCAATGGTGGCAATGTGAGTATGTTTCACAATCTGAAAAATATATGCTTTGAAAACTGATGTCAAAAAACAGTCTGGGGCTGTGTATTATGAAATTGGTAGCACTTTTTTACAAAATGCCCCCTTTGGGCACTGTGATCTCAAATGCCACACACCCATACATGGAGCGGGTCCCATTTGCTGAAACAATAATGGGGCCAGAGAGTATCAACAAGGCACTGTGGCCTGTCAAAGAGCTCACAGCAGCCTTCACAGAATGCAGCTCTGACCATAGGTCCTTATGTCAGAATTCTTTCAGAAAATTGAACTGATAGACTTCATAAAGGTTGAGAAAGAAAAGCAATTACTTATTCTGAGCTGTATTTCTTTTCAAGGCTAGACCAATACAGGTCTTACTGCAAAGCAGAGAAAATGAAAGTGAAATTCTAAAATCAGTTTTAATCTTGAAAACAACCCTCCTGATCCATTCCTATCATATTGCTACATTCCCCATAGCTGCCATTCTCTTCATCCGATGGAGCATGAATTTTATGAGGACAATGAGTATCTTTCCAGCTTGCCTGCTGATGCAGACAGAACAGAGGACTTTGAATATGAGGTAAGATTATTTTCACACCACTTCACATTTCTTCATGAAGTTATGGTTGAGAAGTTTTGCATAAAAAAGAAAAATTAATTTATTACTATAAGAAATGTTTTGTCAAGTGTCTATCTAGGGTAAGGCCTTTAAAATATTTTTAGTTTTGGCTATTTGACTCTAGTATTTTAAGTGTATGTGGAAACATCTTTCTAATACAAGCTTGAAAACAATTTGCTAACATTTCCTGCTGATCTGTATAAATGATATTACAGCAGCTACATTTTTTCTTCTTTCCTTAATATAAGAGTATTTCCAAGTAGAGTTTGGAGAAGGAATTGTACTTAAAACTAAGATAGTGCTTACTATTTTGATTCACAGTATAGTATTTTAATTTTAATTAATAAACTCAATTTTATTATATGTCACATTCCCCTTCATAAATTAAATATTCTTATTTTGTGTACTCAAAAGAACAGTATCACTGACTCTCTAGAGAGATGCCTTCAAGCCCTTTGTGGTTGAACCATGTTCAGTCTTCCCAAGGTATATGTTTGAGTATCTGTACAGTGATATGAAATAGTTCTGAAAGCCCATCTGTTAATTATTTAAGAGTTCCCACAAAAGTTAAAGGATTTATTCTAATATTTCCTCTGCTTCTGCAGTCTGTAACTCTAGGAAAGGCTTCAGACTACTCTGACATTTGAAAATACAATGGATTAAGGAGGTAAAGAAGCTTTGGTAAACAGGCAGAGAACCCACGATTATCTGCCCTTTCAGTGCTTTAGATGATGTCATACAAGTTCAGCAAAATGTTCTTTTCCATTTTACAACTAGGAAATCCTGAAATCTCTTCCCTTAGGAGGATCTAAAATCAAATAAGGCCACTTCGGTGAAGCTCACCTAAAGCAAACAGGCGTTTATTTGCAGTCTTCCCCCTGCAAAAGTCATTTCTGGGGATTATAGAAATCAGAATGCTTTTCAGCCAGAACTTGGAAGTATGTTCAATGATACTCAGCATCTGGATAGACAATTTTTTCATTGTTATTGTTCATAGTAATTTTTATCACCCTCTGATAAGTTAATTGAAAAGTTGGATTGTATAAATCCACTCAAGTCCTGGTATGGACTGGAATATCCATTAAAATTTGTCTACTCATACTAAGTAAATTATAGAACTGTGTTACTTGTCCCAATAATTCAAGATTAAACAATATTTTTCTTTCAGTTAATAGTTTGGGTTTGGGTTCAGTTAATACTCTCAGCTTTTCAGTTAGCTTGTGCCTTAAGGTTTTACTAAAATAAACCTGTGTGCTAGGGGAGGGCTTGAGAGAGAGACTTGCTTAGGTCAAGCATATATGAACAGGAAAAAAAATCCTTTCAATTAATTAGCATATAATTGAATATCACATCACAGACAGAATCCTTTTCATTTCCAGAGGGCCACCGTAACTGAGCCACAGCCTCTTTTTGACTGACAGCCACCAGCATCAGTGGGAGGACAGTGGTCATGCCCAAACAAGTCCTCTGTAGCCTGTAATCTCAACTAATCACAGCCTTTTAGTTGTTAATTTGCTGTCAGCTCTGATTCTCTTGCCAAAGTCACCTTTCTGACTGATTGAAATAAAGAATGTTCCTGTGAAATTTAAATGAGAAAGAAGTTATTTTGACAGGCTTCAATCATGAGAGAGGATGCATTTGAGAATAGCATGCATGGTTCATGGTGGGGGTGGAGTCGTGGGAGAATACCCCAAGATAGTTTTACCAAGAGTAGGGGAGAGGAATGATTCCATCCAGTACTTCCCAGTCTGTTACAGTTACGTGGCAGAAGTGCACAACCCACCCCTCGTGGCTGCATCAGATTGGACTGCGAAAGCCAGTCAGTCCACTGCTATCACCAGAGCTGATGGTGGCCACTACACTAAATGGAGAATACATAGAAATGCTAATCCTGTCTTTATTATGCACTATTGCACTTAGAAAGACCTGCGTTTCTGTGACAGCTAAGATAACGCCAGCTCCTCCAGGAGTTCTGGGGATGCCATGGATGACCATCATTGGGAAGGGCCAGTTTTGGGGCACTTACAGAATATTACAAGAAACTGAGGCCTAAGGCCAAAGAGGGGACTTTATCTCAAAAAGAGATGCAAATTCTTCCTCAACCTAAGCATGAGCATATTTTAGCAGGCAGTTGGGAGAGTAGAAAGAAGACTCCTTTCCATCTGCTTTCATGCATCTGTACTGTGAATATTTAGTGAGCACTTAAAGATGCAGGTTCTTATCTAAGTTTGGCATTGATGAAGCCCCTGCCCTAGTTCAGCTTAACCTTTAGGGGAGAGTGTTGGACAATAAACAAATAAATAACAACATAGTACATTAAATGGTGACAAGGGCTAGTGAAGAACAGCAAGCATGGCTAACAAAGGCAGAAATGCATGGTGTTGGGACGGGGAGTTGCTCTCTTGTTCAGGTGGTCAGAGAAGGCCTCTGTGTGAGTTCTAAAGGAATTAAGAGAGCTGGCCATATGGATATATCTGAGGGAGATGCTTTCCAGACAGAGGGAAGGGGAGCACAAAGGACCTGAAGCAGGAGCGTGCCTGGTAGGCGGGGAAGTCAGAGTGAGTAGGGCCACACCTTGAGGAGCCCTTGGCTTTTACATGAGATCCAAGCTTGGTGGAGAAGAAAGACTAGGGCCATGGTGTGAAGCCCTAGCAAGATCCCTCTGGCTGCTGGAATGAGATTGACCGTGAGGAAGCAAAGGCTGCAGCAGAGCAGTTAGGTACAGGGGAGACATGGGTTGGACCTGGATGGCTGTGGAGTAAGTGCCAGGATGTCTGAAGAAGACCACACACCCTGGCCCTCAAGGTCTGCCTTAATGTCTTTGTTTCCATTACTCGCCTGAGATTTTTAATATACCTTATGCTTTGGTGTTTGTTTTTCCTTCTTACTTTAAAAGCAAAACATCATAGGCCACAGTGAAACACAGCTTCTGATATCCACTGAGGCTAGTGTAGTCCATCTACTCATTAAAAGACAGAAAGCATACAGACCTGCAGTTCTGAACTTGCTCAGATGCAAACTATGCAACTATGTAGGTCCTTTTTAAAAGGCCTGCTCACTATTATTTCAGTGAACCAAAGCTGATGTATCTTGTAAATATATATTTAGGGACTTTTAGGACATGGATTACGGACCCAATAGACAGAAACGGATCTGCCTATCTTGTAAATACATAGTTAGGGACTTTTTAACATGCACGTTATTGCACCGATAGACTGTAACAACTCCCTCTGGGGCCATGGTGGACAGCAAATGCCTCTTTGGAGATGTTATTATAGTCAATGTGTCAATGTTATGATGACTGTGCTATGTTAGGGATCTCTGTAAAATTTTAATGACACTCATTTCTCTCCATAGCCTATCACCACTTTACCTAAGAAATTTATTTGATAGGGTTTAAAATTTTCCCACTGTGCTTCAGAAAAGTCTCAAAGAACCAGCCTGAAATTAAAAGACTCACAGCTTGAAACTTGTTCTCTTTAAAAAATGATGCCATTTGTTCTCTAATTAAAAATGATAAATGATTTTAATTTTATTTTGAGAGAAAAATTAAAATATTTTAAAATTTAACCCATGCACTTTTCTTAAGAGTCAGGATGTTCCACACCATCAAAATACCACTGAGGATTAAGTGTCTTCTCTTCTTTATTTTCAACTTGATTCATTTTTTTTCTAGAGCCAGCTAAAGGTTGAAATAAATCATAGATAGCCCTTAGCAAGTCAGAGGCAGATCTCAAATCCAACCTCTATCAGAAATAAAGGGAAAGGCTTCAAAAAATATAGCACTCTTTGGCCCAACTCCTAATGAAGATATGTTTGCAATTGCCTGGGTGCAAGATGTTAAATTTTTTGCAGTATTTGCCATTAACTCTCAAGTCAGTGCTGATAGAGGAGAGTCAGAGAACTAATCAGGGCAACATTGTGATAGTGCGAAACATCACATGAACCAAGGCAAGCAAATAATTTAAGCCTGTAGATTTTCATCACTTTAAAATGCTACTTGAAATCATTTTTACTGCTCTCCTGAAAACCAAGTTGAAGAAAACATATTCAACAGCCTAAATTAAGTATACTTAGAGTTCCCCTCATGTGTGCATTGTCATCAAAATGAAAAAGGATTTAGCAGATTGCTTGAAGAGGTATTAAAGGTGGAAAAAAGAGAGGACAAGTGTATGTCAGAGTTCAGAGAACATGTTAACTGAAAACCAAACATGGGCCAGTGTCTACAAATAAGAAAGAGTATTTAGCATGTTAATTAGCTTCTTCTTGGCTATCTTATGCAAAGCATAAGTAAACCCTTGTGCTATGCTGAGAAGTGTCCTTTTGCAAAAAAACGTGCAGAATATTTGTGACAATTTACGTTATGTCATCTCTCTCCTACATAGTGAGGGAAAAGAAAATTAAGAACCAAAGAGGTGTTCATTCAAAAAAAACAAGAAGATAAGCATTGATGGGATTTCAGTAATATCTCCTTGAGCAGCTTCATGATAGGTGAAGCCAAGTCTGCCTGGCTTGCAGGTGTAGAGTTTCTTGGCTCCTTTGTAGGCTGTGAGGGCAGAGGCCATATCTGCCTTCTTCATCACTGCATCACACCAGCTGTTTGACAGTGGTGCTCAGTATTTGCTGAATGAATAAGTGCAGAATTCCCTTGCTGTCTGCTTGGACCAACCTCTGGAGAGTGTACTACCTTTCCTTCTTTGAGTACAAGGGAATTGGAAAAGAACTGGGACCACCGTGCAGCTATACCAGCTTTCTTTTTATAACAGGTGTTTGTTCTTCAGGACACAGGTTCTAATTCTAGTCCCCTATTTCTTATATTTAAACATTTTGAAGGAAAGGGCCAAAATGATGGGGTAAGGAGGCAAGGGGAGAGATAACTAAGGAACTGGAATTTAAATGGTCTCCATGAAAATTCACCTTCGTGGTTATCATTTAATAAAACCATAGAATCTTATATATCG